GTTTAATCTCCGGGGAGCCGCCTTCAAGACGGGTCACTTCATTAGTTCCTAACCTTGGGACATGTGTATTAACGACAGCACTGAAGTTGCCGTGATCGGGAGTGTGGTAGCTCTCAGGACGGCTGGAGAACGGCACTGTCGCAAAAATTCTCCAAACGTTGCTCCGTTGGGAACACCGAACGCATTCAGCGTTGTCAAGGTGTTTCCACGGTCTTCATGCTTTAAGTGGGACGCGATCAGACAAAGAAGGTGCTTGAATGCTTCTCCTCCGTTCATATCGTCGACCATGCGCTTTCACCTACACAAAAATGCCATCGATAGAGCTAATGAGGTCACCAGTGGTTTGTTTGTTTGGGGATATGGTGTTAATGACGGCTTTCTTCAGTGGGCTTTCCCACCCTAACCGCACGCATCGGATTTATCAAAACTGACGAAAGCGTCAGCCTTTTGCAAGACATTTAAGGGTGCGGGCTTTATTGAGTCTAACAACTGCGGCACTGCCTGTTTCAGGTTTGCCGGCCAAGGAATCGATGGTTGTATACGACTATCCCTAATCTTCGTCTTGATGTACTAGGCACTGATCTATTCGTGCAGCTTCTGCAAGCACTTCAGCATTATTGATCTCTCCCTCGCAAGCACGAGCTGTCGTTGACGACAACGGTTGAGGGTTATGGCCCACGAATGCACTGTTACGTGACATCAATGGGTGGTCGCTGGACGCGACATCAACCAACAACGATTCATGCCTGTCATCACGTGGGGCGGTCAGGGGTTGATCCAGACGCTCCGCCAGTTGTAGATCGGTGGGCTGTTGCTGTTAGTGTGCGTCAAATATCATCTCAGGGGAATGATCGGATGGGCATGGTCTATCCGATTCGTCGCTGCTTCGATGCCCGCGGCGGTGCCCACGGCGGCGTGGGTGGCTATGGTTCCGGCTACCACGACGGCCACGACTCGTGTCCTCCTTGCTGGCGCTCGTAGTCGGCGAAGGCTTGCGTTCCACACCGGCCTCGCCCTGGCGGCATTTGGACCCAGACCGCTTCGTGCCCCGTGTGCCTCAATTCGATCTCTTTGGAGCTACTGGCAAACATGGACGCCCACGCATCGCTTTTGCTAGCCGCGGAAGAGCGCGACCCTCGCGAACCACGTTGACCGTTATAGTTGCCACGCCCACGGTTGATTGACGAACCGTGACCGCTACCACGACCGCGGCTGCCACGGCTGTGTGAGCTGCTGCTGTCGGTAGCTCGTTCCTTATTCAACTTGTGGTGAGTGACTACATGGTAATCGCCCGTCTGCTTGACGAATGCTGCGGAAGCACCGTAGTAGGCCTATCGAAGGTGGAAGGCACCAGTTGACCTCCGTCGGGAGGTGGCCACCGGTAAATTTATCGTCACCTGTGAGCCCGTGCAGAAGACGCGTTACAGCTTCTATCACCTGCACTTCTATCGTGGGGGCATGATCGACGTGCTACAGGAATTAACGGAGCGTGACCAAAAATATCTACGAGATTATCAACATTGTCGTCAACACTGTAGCCGCCTTGGTGACTCGAATTCTGCATGCTTCCGTGAAGGCTTGCTGGTGCACGTGGGGGAAGGAATGTCAAGAAACCATTCATCCCCCTTTCGGAGGCCGGGGTCCTGCGGTCCTTGCGCCATTTGGCTGTGTAACGGTTGGGCCGGGGGCTGAACCACATAACCACCTCCAACGATGGATAGCGGTGGGTTCAGCAACAGCCCTTGCTGCTCGTATGACATACCGTACCCCGAAGGGCCGGCGCGCTGGGGCTCGGAACCAAGCTCCTTCGAGCCGGTGAGCGCCATGTGCTGCGAACCAAATGCCTCAGGACCGGTGAGCGAGGGATTCGCACCAAACCCCTGTGGGCCGGTAGGAGGGTCTTGCGTCAAACCAAATCCCGTAGGATCGGTGAGCAAGAGGCTCTGCGAACCACACCCCGAAGGATGGGTGCGAACCTGCTTCGAACCGAAATTAATCTCGGGATCACCCCCTTCAGAACCGACGGCATCGGCTGCTCTTCAGGAGATTGTTGTTTGTTGTTGTTGTTTCTCACATGAGCTTCATAGTCCACAAAAAATGGGGAGCCCGTGGTCTCAACACCCGGCACATACGACGCCGCGGGGAAACAAAACAAAAATAGGGTACAAACCACTCGGAAAAAGAAAACAAAATGATAAAAAGAAAAGAACAGGTATCGCATCGACCGTTCGAGAAAAGAGCCCTCGGAAACCGATAAAAAAAAA